GGCTTGAGAGATCACGATTGAACTGACCGGCCCCAGGTACTTCAGAAGTGTTTGCATTTGGATTTGATCTTTACGGTCAGTTCAATCGTGATCTCTAAGGTTGCCGGTGTCTTTACGGTGTCAGGTTCCCGCACAGGATGGGGAGACAGCAGGAGCGGGAGCAGGGGAGGCATCAGCGTATGGCAGTTTGCAGGAGCAGGGGAGGTAGCGGGAGCAGGAGCGGGGAGGCATGGGGAGCGGGCGAGGCAGCGGGAGCGGGGGAGGCAGGGGCCATGGGAGAGGCAGCGGAAGCGGGGGAGACAGGGAGAGTGGGAGAGGCAGGACAAGCCACTCTGGCGTGGATGACACACATAAATTAAGAAGCGGTCCACATTTATTGGAAAAAGAGAAAAGAAGAAGACATGCGAGTTTTGTGGCAGGACGAGCCACTTTGGCGTGGACGGCACAGTTTTTGACTTCTGAATGGATTCACGCCGCTGCCACGTAACACCCACGCCCCTTGATTGCTACTGACGACACCAATCAGTTTCTCCAATTCACTCTAAAGTCCTTTCTAATGAGTGTGGATCACAGTGCATGTGATTGTGCTTGCACGTCCTCTGTGAGAAACTCCCCTGAGGGCAAAGGAAGAAATGCTATGCTGTCAGGAATTTGGTTTGAAGCAGCCAGCATAATTTATTTATCGTATTGATTTCTTCCTAAGTACTTGTCAGGGAAAATTCAAAGAATGTTTGTGAAAACTCAATCATCCCGAGCGGACCTGCTACGTCATGACTTGGTTTCCTGTTTTTTTTGTTTTTTCGTTTTTTTCTGTATGCTGATTCTCCTTTGGATGACCTCGCTCTTTTCTTGCAAGACTCTTGTCTATCACCAGTGGATCACCTGCGCCTTACAACATTGTTTTTTTTCTGTTGCACATGTACCTACTCCATGCGAAAACACCATGGCGACAGTAGATTGTAAGTATTCAGCGAACACTTCAGTCTGGCATTTCATTAAATTTTTTATTTTTTTTTCTCACTGCTCGAAATTGAGCACCAGTTTGTAATACTTGTACTGATGATTTTCATGCCTTTTGTGTGCCTTCTCAGGTGCCCTTTACTCTTTGTGTTTAGGTCTCATGATGCTATGCGTGTGATATCCTATAAGGATGATGGCCTGTGCACAATGCCATGTGGTCAATAAACATGCAAAGGAAAAAAAAAAAAAGCCCGATTTCCTGATGCCTTAATATAAGAGAAATGGGAGCTCCTACACCGTGTTTCTCTTTCTGTTTTCTGCTATCGGCTCTCCTTCTTTGTGTTTGTTTTTCCTTTTTTTTTTGCTATCAATTCGCTGGATCCCTGCAAAATTTTCCGGCCCGCCATGGACACACTATAATGGTTCCCTCAACCCGTTTGCTTTGCCCTCAAATGGGGTGAGCCGTGCATTCAGTTTTTTTAGGGCCTGACTGCACGGTCTGCCCTGTTTGAACTTTGAAGTGAACCAATACATCGGTGTTTGGTGTGGGGGGGGGTTCCACTGCTACCTTTGACACTGCCTCTTTCTGTCGGACGAATTTCGTCCCAGTGACCTCTTATTTGACTTTTGTTTCTTTTTGACAGATGATATTTGTTCCCGTTGATTCTGCTCAAACTGGGAAATTTCAAATTTTGAACRTCCAGTCTCGTGCAATCAAAATAATATTCTGTTTTTACTTGATGCCTRTGCTACCAGCCGGGCCGTACGTGAGAGGCATAAAAAGAGAAACCAGGAAAAAAGGTAAAGGAAAGAGAACAAAGAACTGCACAGGAAAAAAGCAAACAAGGGTTTTAGCGTGCTTTATGTTGTCCTTTTTTTTTTYTTTTTTTTTTTTTGTCTTCCCAAAGTGCAGTCCTCCAGTTAATAGATATGTGAGGTACAACTGTTTCAATTTTGGCTATATTAGTCTGCCAGTTGGTGGAAACGGGGTTGTCATGGTGACAGTCACACACACACACACACACACACACACACACACACACACACACAGGCAGATGGGCGCTAACATGCCTCCGGTGACTCTTACCAAAAGTGGGCTGAGTCCCACAAAAAAATGGTCCACGATTTACAAAATGGGAAAGAACAGAAAATAATGAAATGAAAAAAAAAATGAAATGAGCTTGTTTTCAATTCCATCATCTGGGCTGCACTTTTCTTATGGACATCTTCCTAAGCAATGGTCGTACACCCACATAGTTGCCCGTGGCCTTTAGAGGAGGCACTGAGGCACTCGGGGCAGGGAAAGCGTACGGCTGCTCGGGAGTCTTTTTTTCCTACTTTTCTTTTCTTTCTTTTCTTTTCTTCCTTTTCGTATAGTGAATTTTCAGGATTTATCTGATTGGACGTGGGCCGACCTTCGCCGGGTATGAAGGCACACACGTTCTAGACACTAGAATGAATAACACAATAGACTTTCTCCTTGCACGGCGAATGGGTCAGCAACTGGAAAAGATAGCAGGACACCAGAGGTAAGTTCTCACGATGACAGTGGATCCTTGCTTCATSGTCTCAGCAGATCGCCCCCTTTTATGACGTGGGCTCGTGGCTCCGGCTGAAGCGCCGCATAGAGGAATGCCAGGTTGCGCCTGAATTCTTCCGTGTTGACATGCAAGTGTTTTGCTGTTTTTAATGCCCACTCAGCGGGCGCATCGTATCTGTATCTCCGAGCGTGTAACTCATGCGTCCAGCAGACTATCTCGTAAGAAGGCTGCTTCTCGGTGTCGCTCATCTTACCCTTCAACCCAGCAATCATTCCAGTAATTTCTGACATCTTCCGAAATAATGGTCACAAGGTCACCGCAGGCATGGCTGAAAAGAAATGTCTAGTACGTTCCTTTTCATCTTTTCCAATGCTTTTTTGAAAAAGGCGACGGCTTATTTTACTCATCTGGGGTCAAGTGCAAGGAACATGAGTATGGACAAAGCACAGAAATCCAGAATGCAAAATCACACTGAAGTCCAAGTAGTCAAAGCCAAAGCAGATAGCACATGGAACCGAGTAACCATCCAATTGAGAATGATACAGAAGAAT